AGACCATTCGACTCAGCACCCCGAAGACTACAACTGGTGAAATTTTAATTTTTGCCTTAACTTCCCCTTTAATCAAATGCAGACGCCATGTTTATTTATGTTTCTAGCAGCAACGAAAATGCAAACAATCTCTCCAAATCTGCGCCGAAGTCACTCGTAGTGTTAGATTTAGAGAACATCAAAATCATGTCAACTTGGTTCAAAATTTTAATAAATAGATTTAACGCACTCTATGAAAGTAAAATTAACTCTTGACTAGGTAATCCGATCTCGCTCACATTTTCTGGAGATACCCCTCTGCATTATAGCTTTCATTTGAGACCAATTTGGTTTTGGGTCTCATCTACTCACCTCCCACCGGTTGAGGAGCTGCATCTGCGCCTAAATCTTTGAGGGTAGTGGCGTCCCAGCGGATGCGGAAAATTCGGTCTCCATCCGAATCTCACGCGAACCGCGAATCTTTCTTCATCGGTTCTAGGTCAGTGCGCCGAAAACCATTTCGGCGAGTGACATTTGATTGCCGTCGAGTGGTCGAAAACCGCGTCGATGCTTGGACAATTCTCGACAGGCACACTTCGCCGAATTGCTGTTTAGGCCAATTGGGAGATGGTTTTTTCGACAACAGAGTATTTCGCCTGACAGTACCGGACGTAAGGGCCTGTGGAGAAGGCTGGGTGAGCTGTAAAATCTTGTACGATTTGTACGACAGGACATGCTGTAGTCGTTGCGTCGTTCAACAGCAAACGGCGCCAGTCATAAGGCACGATCCGTGACAGGGTGACTTTTAGACCTAATTTTCTTATTTTTCGGGTCTTCTTTTCCATTGTTTCTCCTTGAATGAAGCGGAATCAGGTTCACAATACCAGTTTTTCATGAACACCAAAAAAAGTAGCTTCCAACGGTGTGCCATTCAAAAATTAGCTCCAGGAAATGATCAAACAGTTCGTCTGTCACGCTCCTGAACTATCCCTAAATACCATAAGTGACATCAGACCTTATCTTGCCAAATATTTAACTCAAGTCGTGTTCGCCATTCTGCGAGTTATCATGGTAAGCGCAGTGTTCGAAGTACTAAACATTTCAAGTACGAATCGGGAGTAGTCGGTGCACGACGCCGTCTCCTGTTCACACTCAAAATTCAGCCGTTTTGTACGCTTGCGTCCCCGTCTACGCCCGTCCGCGGTATGAAAAGTTGGATCGATCCAACTCTTCCCGTCATTTCCCAATCCGTACGGCAGTACGGTTGCGTTCCTGTTCCTGGTGTTTATACTGGACGCCATCAGATAGTCCCGTCGCTTCCCGTCGATCCTTATGTCGCTTCCCGTCGGGCCTTGTCGAATGTGAACTAGGCTTTACACACACCGTGCCAAAATACATAGTGAAAATGTTATACTGGCCTTCAGAATAATCAAAATACCTTGAAACATTTAGCAAACTTCACTTCTCAACTCCAAAACGGTCTCTTCACTGCGATTCAAATTTTAAATTTTTTTAAAGATTTACATATTAATCCACCAAATCTTCGGGCCTGGCCCATCATCAGAGTAATGAATGACAAAAATATTCATTGCAAAGATACGTATTGAACTACATGTATGAACACAACAACTTTTGACACTGATAATGTTAACATATTGGTGTGAATATAATAGGTGAAGAATAGAAAAGAGTTAAGTGTAGGTGTGATATGTCACAGCGGTCAGGTGTGTTTGCGTCGGGGGGGGGGGGGGGAGGGAGGGCTTCACTAGAATCTCAGTGGACAGAAGTGAAGACAGATTGATACATTGTCTACCCACAGTTACAACAAGTCATGGCAAAAGAATTACATGTACATGTGTAGAATAACACCTACATCCAGCCTGCGGACCAAGCACTGACACCAACAGGCTTGCACATGTAGGGGACAACGCAACACCTACAGTGCATACACTGTACAATCACAAGTAGCAGTTTCACACCTTGTCCAAAATCGAAATTTTGGTGTAATATTAATTATAATTTTGGTTTGAATCGCAGTGAAGAGACCGTTTTTGGAGTTGAGAAGTGAAGTTTTCTAAATGTATAAGTGGCTGGCTGCAGTGGAGTTTTCGGACAATAAGAAACGTTTAAATTGAAACATCACGCATTATAAATGCCTCCCCGCCGTGCATTTTCATGTACATGTCCAGTTCCACCAATGCGCCCAAGTTACCTGGTGTGGGCGTAACATTGTCGCCTGTATTTCGGGCTCTGGGCTCTGGTCGCTTCAGAGCTATGGAAGATGGTAAGCCAACCACAGTTCACCCTTTTCCCAGTGACTCCGAGACGATCTGGTGGGAAGAGTTCTGACTCGTCGTGGCTTTTTGTCTTCATGCAGCCTCTGCAGGACAGCCTGTCTCTGTTTCGCAGCTCTAGTAAACAGTCTGGTTTCTTCCTCTTTTGTCTTGCACGCAGGCATACCCATCCTTGACTAGTTTGGGTTCGCCTCGCAAGATTAGGCCAGTAAAATCGGGATAGGCGTCCATGATTGAGTCACCAAGATAAAGGATTCTGTACCCAATGCTTACAGTTTTCAGTACAATTCGGCGACAGGGTCGGCGGTGAAATATTACTTCGACGAAATGTACTCGCCGAATGTGTTATTCGGAGAAAAAATCAGGCTGCGAAACAGCACAGACGAGAAATGTCATTCGATGAATTAACCACCTCGAAATGTCTCGCAACGAAATGTCACGCGCCTAATTGACCGGATACTATCTTTCTTGAAGACCATAACCAGCCGGATTGACCGACTTTCGATTTTTGGCCTCCGACAGGGTGGCCACCCTCCGTAAACGGTGGTGAGTTACGAAAACTGAAGAAAATGTTGAACAGTCTCTGGGCTGACGGCTGCACCATACTTCAGTGGTTAGAGCATCGCTGGGTACAAAGCGAGGGTCCCTGGATCGAGTTCTGTTGGTGATTATTCTGACTTTTCCCGTTTGTGTCTTTACCTCAAACCGGTGAAAATTAAACAACTGAAGTAAAGGTAAATTAAAATAGAATCTTGTATTGTGGCAACACTGGCCAACACTCAGATGCACTGCTTCTTCACACAGCTGAACAATTCTTCTTTCTTCTCAACGTTTCGGTCACTCTGACCATCTTCAGGATGAAGCAGACACGGAAGCAAGGCAGACTTTAAAACAACAAGCTGGCTAGGAGCGTGCGGAATACAGCGGGGAAAACAAAACAAAAAAACAACAACTCCCAAGCGAAAAATGACACATGCCACATGATCACAATAGGAGTGCTAGTCCTCCGTGTGAGAGACTAGGGTGGTGATAATTATGTACAACCTGTGGAATACAGCAGGGGGAGGGGGGGGGACACTCTCAGGCGAGAGAAGAAAAAAACCGGCAACAGCCACATGACTACAGTAGTGTGGACAGTGCTAACATAATGCTTAAGTCTAGGGTGGTGATACGTACAATTTGTGGGGGCTAAGGTTTCACATGGATAGCTATCACTCCAATGAAAAAGCCAGGCAACCAGAGTTCACAGGAGATCCCAACCACTGCTGGTGTTGATATAAGGCTCCATGTCCCATATCTTGACCGCTTCCCGAATCCTTCTCCTTGCCCTGTCTGGCTCTGTCGCAAGCACACAGACGTTGGCGAATCCGGTCTGCGCCAGCGACAATGGCTCATCGGCATGGAAGATCCGGTAATGCTCACCCAGCGCCTTTCCTCGGACCTCGTTGCGTGCATTATCGTTGCGCTCCCTTGACCTTGTCGCAACGCTTCGGCCAGTTTCACCCACATGGTCATCACCGCAACGGCACTTGAGGTGGTATACCACGTTTCGGCGGGTGCAGTCCACTGCACCTGCTGCACATGCCACGCAAGCTGATTTCGGTCTTCCCCTTCTCCTTGGCTGCTGTGGATAAACGAATTTGCGGCATAGGGGCTTGTCCAAAGCAGACCTGCAAACCCGCGAGCTGAGCCGAGCATTCTTGTATATGATGTGGGTGTTCAGCTAAACTAGAATAATAAAAAAATAAAAAAATGTCCTAGAAATACCACAGAAATTCATGATACAAGTGCAATAAAACTACATCAGATGAAACGCAAAATTGATAACCGCTCGATTTGAGGATGGTGCGAGTAGGTTTTTCATGTAGAAATGAAGAAAAAATTACAACACGGAGGCTCCACTGCAGCCAATTCATATCACGATCAGTCACCACAACCACACAAAGGTCATTTACGCTGCACATTCTATTCAAAAGAAATGAAATAAGGTATTATTATTTTACTCCCTGATGACGCCCCAAGGGCTTAAATTTGGAGATTTCATTTCTTTTGAATAAAATTTGCAGCATCAACGACCTTTGTGTGGTGGTGGTGGTGACTGATCGTGATAAAAATGGAAATGGTAGTACCAATCTAACCTTCAAAAGATCACATGACCAAAGGTCAGCACATTGTTGAACATAGGTTATATTCGTAGGTTGACACTTCGTTCAGTTCCTTCTCACCTTTGTTTATCACATTCAGTCTCAGATGAAACTTGTGTGGGGAATTCCTGACAAACCGCAAATCTACGTTGTTGTGAATTGTCTCTGTTCAGTGCTCAGCTTCATGGTCTATGGTCAGCAACCTTGCGAAAGAAGGCAATGTTTAATGAGAGACATTCACCAGGAGCAGGCCAACTCTCTCGGCACTGCTGGAGTCTTGTACTTCACCGCACCTATCAGCCAACACTCTAGATGGCGAAGGGTTGGGCGGGGACAGGCGGTCTCTGCAAGCTTTTTGCCAGAATCACAATGCAACATGGCTTTCCGTTATGCGAATATCTTCATTAGCGGAGGCTCAACCTGTCAAGCAGAGGCAAGACTAAAGCGAGGAATGTTCACCCGTTCTGTTCACAGTGTACAATACTGTAGCGGAGTACGAAGATGTATGAAATGGGTTGAGCTGAATACACTGCCATATAATGCAAGACATCAGTGTCCAAGTCCATCTCGAGTAACAGTCTTTATCAGACCAGTGAAGGTAAATGGTAAAGTTTCAAATTGCTTTATCAGTGTAGACGGTAACAATCACCCGATCATGAGTATCTTCATGGAATGTAAGTAACTGGTGCCCATGTTGAAGAACACAATCATAAAAAAATGATTTTAGTATCCTCAGCCTACGCAAGCTCAAACTGATCAGGGGTGAATTCCCCGGAACACTGTGTATTGAGCAGGGAGTGGTTCGTTCTTGCGTGTGTGCGGAGGCGAATCTTTGAGGGACTTCTGGTGCGCTCTGGATGGCCTGTATATTTGTATGATTCACTTGATCAGAGAGATGTCGATCATCATCACACTGAAGAATTGTATTTACTCTCTATATCTCTCCATGTCTAGACTGCCCTTGCGTCACCAATCTGGTAACCATGTTCACAAATTTTGTTTCTTGCTATCATTTGCATGTGGTTACTGCAGACAGGACAGAGGAAAAGCCCTCTACATCGGCACCCACTTCACGCAGACCTCTGACGACCACTGTACAAACAGGACCTACAACTTCCATATATATACTAACAGGACCAAGAAACACACCACTTCCACCGACTTTGGACACAACGGAGATTACCCTACAACCTACATCCGAGCTGCCAACTAATTTAAATTCGGTCCTGACAAACCCCGACAAAATTCCAGGTATTGAGTTGGGTCCGAGAACGATTTTAAAGCCTAAAATCTTATCCATGTTCTCTGTTGTTTGTACTGATTTTTTACCAGTGTGAAATATGCTGAAGAAGATTAGATTTAGAACTAGCACTGAGATCCTAGTGCCCCCGATACATTCATTTTCCTGATGTTAACAGTTGATTCCACCCTTATAGGCCATTCACACCACGTGCAAACTCACTTTTATCGTACTGTCTCCAAGGATATTTACTCGGATACGATAATCTTGGACTCACGCGTGCAACAATTTATTATCTTGGCCGAGGCTCTTTTGCTCGCGATTATCTTTGCACGCCAGGAAAAGTGTCGGTTGTTGAAAGTGCGTACTGCAAATGCAGGACTTGAACAAAGGAAAATTTTAAATTCAACATTTCCCGGCATTTTCAGGAGGTCACTATGGATTCATTGACGGTTGCAAAGTTTGCCCAGCACCGTGTGAACTGGATAACGGTTTGCCAGTGTTATCTTGCTCACATGCGTGCAAATGTTTGCACGTCGTGTGAATGGCCTATTAGCGCCCTGAGTTTCAATCATTGCTTACTTTGCTTGAAGCTGCTTCCCATGAAATTCAAAAAACTTGTAGAACCTTATCCCTCACACACTCATACTCAGCCCAAGGCAACAGGGAATTGTTTTTTGGAGATAGTGTGCTGCTTCGAGTAACTGGTCTTGTAATGCAAAAGCTCGAAGAGCTGGAAAGCATTGCCAGGCCACTGGCAGCAACTGCCTCGCGAGGAGCCGCAATAAACCCACATTGTGCCACAATGGGGTTGCAAGGCAAACCCAATGCAATTGGCAACAACTGGCTCGTGAAGAGCCGCAACTAGCGAAGCAAGTGACCAGTTAGGAGCGATAGAGCTCCACAAAGCAGCAACACTATCCCCGAACCACCCCCCCCCCCCCCAGCATTAAGAAATTATCGAGCAGTGACATTCCTATGCTAGGACTTCAGGGATGGAACATAAACTGTCCGTGCAAAGAATCAGATAAGGTCACTCACTGAGGCAAGCTGAGCCGAGATCTTGGACTTGGTCTCCATTGGAATTCGCATATAGCGTAGACACACATCGCTCTGCCACCTGCTGGCAGAACGAATCAGCGAATCGGGTATCCCTGCCATGGCGGCGGTAGTAGCTGCGCCAATTCGGAATGAGTGTCCCGAGTAGAGTTCGATGTTTGGCACCGCAGCCTTTTCAAGCAGCAAGCCCACAGTACTGGTGAAAACAGCTCCGGATAACGGCACACCCTTGGCAAGTACATACAGAGGAGTGGATGCGTTTCGACTGTCAGTCATCGCCAGGTAGTGTAGCATAGCATACACAGGGCAGTAAGGGCGACCGGCCGGTCCAATGACAATGTGGACTCCCTTTCCAAATTGGTCTGTCTTTGATCTCTTTAGCAGGATGGTCATGCTGCCCGACTCAAATCTGATACACTCTCTTGTAAGGCCCTCTGTAAATTCGGAGCACCTTAGGAAACCAAAGAATGCCAACAGCACAGCAGACTTGAAGAGAACTCGGTCATGCTCTGGCAACACGGGGAGGTGATCACAGGCATCGACTAATTTCCTTAGAGTTGCCATAGTTATGGGCAATCTAGGCTTTACTGTCTCGGTCCCATGGCACCGTTGCACACCCTTCAACACTCTCTTGAGAAGCCAGGTCTCGATCAGGGGATCCTCTAGACCCTGTTCAATGTGTGCATTCCGTACAGCTTGCAAATAAACAGATATCGTGCAAGGGCGGACAGAGCGAGCAAGATAAGCGCAAAAGCAGCTGAGGGTAAGATCAGAAGCTGGGTAAGGTTGCAGATTGCAAAGGGAGCAGAAACTGACAAAACGACGCTCACCGGCAGAGTACGTGCGTCTGGTATTAGCAGCAATTGCACAGGCAGCGTACTTAGTGATTTCGCTCACAAGACTGCTGGAAGACGAGCACGGTCTGGACTGGGCCGGGCTAAAGGAGCATGACGTCGAAATTCCTGCATAAGAAAACGAGAAAGGCAATCTGCAATGACATTCTTGGAGCCAGCAATGTGCACAGCGCTGACATAAAAGTTGAACTCATAGCAAACGAAGAACAGTTCGCGTAGCAACTTCATCACAGCTGGAGCTTTGCACGCGCCCGAACGGATGCAGTCCACTATCGCCGCGAGTTGTCGCAGTGTACCCGAATCCAGAGCTTAGCCCATTCGTCGCCCCATGTGGTGCAGGCTGCTACGAGGGCAAACAGCTCCTTCCACTCGATAGACTGCAGCATCTGGGCACTGTTCCATGAACCTTGAATCCACTTCCCGTTGTTGTAAGCACCCCAGCCGTGAGTGCCACTTGCATCTGTGTATAGCTGGAGATCTGGTGATGGGGTCCAGTTAGGGTGCAAGAAGAAGGACTTCCCGATCCACTCACTAAGTAGCCTCATCCACCATAGCAGGTCATTCACGCATTCTTGGGTCAAAGTTATTGAGTAGTGTGGTTGCTGAAACCGTGGGCAGACGGACCACAGACGACGCATGAAGGTACGGCCTATAGTGATGACACGGGCAGCAAACGAGAGTTTACCCAATAGGGACTCGAGTTGGCGTTGGGATATCTTCCGGCTGTTGATCGTGCTGGCCAATAGCGATCGGAGGTCGGTGAGCTTGTCCATGGGGAGCCTGGCCTCGAGCCGCTCGCAGTCCAGAATAATGCTGAGGAACGTCAGTGATCTCGCGGGACCTTCCACCTTTGCTGGCGCTAGCGGCACGCTCAAATAGATGAAGGCCCGCAGCAGGATTGCTAGTTGACGCTGGGCGACAGTGTGGCCAGTTGTGACGTTTAGGAAGTCGTCCAAGTAGTGGAATAGGTCGGCAATGGAGAAATGGTTCCGGATAATCCACTATAATCTATGGCCGAGGCAACGGAATTGAAATAGGCTGGGCTGGAGCGAAGCCAAAACGGTAGCACCCGCTCGTAATAGTAGCTGCCTTGCCAGAATATACCGAGTAGTGAGTGGTCTTCAGCACGAACTGGGATTTGCCGGAATGCACTTTTAATGTCCAGCTTTGCGAGGTACACCGGCCGAGGTGAGGACATAATAGACTCGATTGCATCGTCAATACAGATGTAGTGCAGGGAAAACTGGTCAGCTGGAACTCCGTCGTTCACACTATTACCGGCGGGGCTAGAGAGATGGTGAATCATACGAAGCTTGCCGTTCTTCTTCGGTACCGCGCCGACACCAGAACAGCGCATGAAGGTGAACGGGGCTGCACTAAAAGGACCAGCATTTTCGCCACGCTGGCAAGAAGAATAAAGCTGGTCAGAAATAAAGGAGGCACAAGCAGCAGAAGATGGCAGATTAGCAGACTGGACAGAAACGTCGCGTGAAGCAGTGAAACCTATGCTAAAGCCGTAGCGCAGCCCGTTTAGCACAAAGGAAGCAAATTCTTTATCGGGGTGATGACGCAATAGAAGCTCAAAACGAGAGACATGGAAAGGGGTATGTACAGAGGAATTATTAATGTGAGGGGGAAGAAAATTATGTACACATGCAACAGTTATTGGTTGCTCAGGCTGGGATTGCAATCCCGAACTACTGGGCTGGTCGCTGACCTTTGCCGAAACACTTGCTGCGGGGGTGGTCCTTGCCACAGCGGTTGCAGATGTGGGCGAACCGGCAATTTGACCAGCTACACTTGCCAAGGTTGAAGTTTCGGCAGATGATGGCACCTGCGTTGTTGCCGGTGAGCAGTGAGGATGATGTTGTTTGAGCTTGGTGTGCATGTTTGGGACGAAAAGGACACATGTTGCTTGCAGCCGCTGGGTGGACAAGGCTGCACAACTGACATCTATGCCTGGCCTTGCCTGTGATGCACAGCTGCCATGTATTTATGTCAATCGTATCAAAGCGCTTGCGGGGTTGTGAAGCGACAAGCCTTCGAAATTGCTGGTCATACATAAGCCAGGCCTCTGCAAATTACTGCCTGTTGGTCGCCAAGATCATGCACTGGTATGACAGGAGTTCTGCTGTGCGGTGGGGTGCATTGCTGATCACAACATGCATATACAGAGACCATGCTTCTAACCAAGTGGCGATATCGTGCACACGTCTACGAACCGGGCGAGTGGTGTTCACCTCTACAACTTCCAGTGCACCCCCGGATGAACTGGATCTGAGCTCGAACGACTTATCGCTATCACCTGCCCCCAAGATCTCAGGCAACAATTGGTCGAAGTCCACAAACTTACCTCGCAATATCCTATCCTGCGCCGACTTTGGGACGTGCAGATTTCCAGCGTGAGGCGGTGTGGAGCACGCAGCACCCGCGCCAATGTCGGATGACGCAGCTGGAAGGCGCTGGTGCCGCACTTGGCTGCGACAGAAGAGAGGCTCCAATCTCGTCTGTGATGGCAGAACGAACTTCAGCCCGAATAAGTTCGCGAATACCAGTCGGATCCAAGGTGACCGGGGGATCGGCGAGCACCTCGCATGTATCCACCGTGGGTTCGGCAGAGTCGTTTTTTGGTCGCTGAAGGTTGGGTTGGACCCAGGTTTTCTCGCTCCATGTCGTCCAGCAATCTCTGAACCAGAATGGATTTCTTTCCGGTGGTCAGCAGACCTCGATCGTCCAGCTCGGCTCGCAGTTCTGCCACCCGCATCCGATGCACAATAGACGACATTGTTTCAGGCAGGCACCAACAGTACGAGCTGAACACAATCGAAGCGTCTGGCTAATTAGTTGCTCAAAGCTACCACAAGCTAGAAGCCAAACTGAGAGAGCTGGAAAATTTGATGCTTGAAAATTTGATGCTGGCACAAGCTAAAAGTCACCACTAATTAGACTAGTCTTTGAAGTGAAGCCAACAGCAAGAAAGAAAGAGAAAGTTCAAAGGAAGCATTTGTACGACGTCAGGCTAAGCGCGCCCGAATCCATGCGCTTGCAGTGTGAGTGCAGTGAGCAAAAGTTCAAAGGAAGCAGTTGTGTGACGTCAGACGTCAAATCTATGCGCTGGCAGTGTGAGTGCAGTGCGCAATGCACTGATGCAGCGTTGCGCGGCAGATGTAAACATGGCAGTGTGATCGGTGGATGCTAACACACACTAACTACATTACTGCGACATAAATTCCAACTCCATGAATGGTCTTTTGACTGTTGGAAATATGATGCAGTAAAACGTTCCAAAGGACGTTGCCTTGTTCATTTACCCATACTTTATAGGAACTGCAGACGCCATACAGAGTAATTTTTCCCTGTTGCTTATTCAGCATTACTATCCATACTAGGAATGAAAATAATCTGCATATAACTACCCTCTCAAGTCTGTGTTCCTTTTCTTGTTTCAATGCCCTCAGTTTCGCCACATTATGTATCAACCATACACAACCCTGGGACTGACAAAAACAAAATCACCACTACACATGGAGCAACAACTCTACCGACAGTCCAATCGACCAGTGCATCTCTGATTGCGGAATCAACCAACTACATCTGGATCATAGGCGTGGTGGCGGGAAGCATTCTAACTGTGATTCTCATTGCTGTGCTGTTTGTGATTCTTTGTAAGAAATGCCGCAGAACCTCGGCACAGGTTCGTATAACTAACACCCGAGATCATGGAAGCGAGCCTCCCACCCAGGGATTCAGCAATCCTGACTATAGCTACACCGACTTGTGTGGAAATGCGTCTGACCCAACACGATCCGTGTATTCATGTGCTAACCCTGATCGAGACTACCCACCAAACCAACCAGGTGTAACGGAGACAAAATATACAAACACGAATCCACAGGACAGTACCAACCTTGTGCCGCAAACATCCAACACGTCCATGGCTGTGGGAGAATACTCATTTGCTGGCGCAGTGGCGGACCGTCTGAACCTCTCCCAACAGGAAGACCGGGCACATCCCCTTTACTCTTGTGCAGAGGAAACCTCCGTTCAAGACCTAGAGCAACGAACTGACTCCACCTATGATGAACTACGCTATGCAAGTAAAGAATGGGGCACAGTTGGAGACGCAAGGCAACAGGTGTATTCTGATGTGGAGGGAATTGACCATCTCGACCAACCACAACAGGCAGAGTCTTCATACGACAAACTATGCCATCCCAAGAGTGGGAAGGAATGGGGCGCATGTGGGGAGCCGCAATCACAGATGGATCATGGCAGAGACCCAACTTTCCACGAAGACCAGCGGCCGGTATCGGATCCTACGTACGACACTCTACAAGAGGACACAGGAGGCAAGGAACACGGCGCTACTGGAGACATACAGCAACTAGACTACGACAATGTGAACATGGAATGAAGTGGGCTTTGAAATGTCTGATACATACAGAATCCAGGACGCAAGCGTGAATGATCAAGTATACACAGCAACAACAAGAGATCGAGCCGTTATAGTACATGTATACGAATGTTGACTCTGAGTGAACACCATGCAAACTTGCACGTATGTTGGCATTTGAGCATCGCCGTACAGGGCTTCAACGCTTTGTCTTACGGTGTGTACATATCTGTGTGTGTGTGCCTTTGTGTGCATGTGTGTACGTGTGTGTACGTGTGTGTACGTGTGTGCACGTGTGTGTACGTGTGAGTGCTAGTGTCTATATATGTATGTTGATGTCACAAAGCTTTTCTCGTCACTTTATGCAGTCCTTAGAGTAGATCGATTCAAGGTTACTACTGCATAATACACAATGAGTCCATAATTTTGATGATTATCCTAACAGATCACCAATTTCCATTTCATTGCCACTTTCTCCTTGAGCTTTGCATCACATGAAGTAGGACCTTTGCTTATCCCGCCGTGACGATACACGCATCCTTGTAGCATGAATTATAAACGAATAGAACTGCACGTGTAGTTCTGCAGCCATGTAGCAGTTATGCATCTCCTGCATGTGTTTTACGCGTATATTAAATGACCTGGGTCCTCCATTTCAGCAAAATACATGCACTGTAGTTACTGCCATACCAAAGATGATGCAGTCTATTGCACTGCACGCATTTAACATTCACATTTTCCATATTTCGCCTTCTGCCTTTTCTAATCAGTATTATCATGCATACCTAATGCAATGCCTTTGCTTTTATTACCTGATTTCCTTCCTTTTTAATTTTTATCTTCGCTTGATGAACTGATCCTAGAGGGTGGTGGCGTTCTTGTGGTTGCGTCTCACGCGAACCGTGATTTTTCCTGAACCGACATCACCATTCCGTATTTCAAAATATTGACTCTGCATATTGCAATGCATGCATGCTGGGTGCTTGACGAAGTTCATATTGGACTAAGTGGCTCAATGGTGTGAAAGTAGCAACATCTCAATCAGAAGCTCTTCGATTTCTGAATACTTGGCAATGTTTACATGCAAGTGATTGCAAAATGATCAGAAGATATAAGAAAGAGAGGGGGCTACAGTTGTTTATAAACAAAACACAAGCATATTATCAAACAAGCTAAGTACACAGACCCATATGATAGACAGTGTTATGATTCGAGATAAAGGTGTAGCGATTTGTTGGGTCTTTCGAAAAAAACACTTATCCACTTGTTCCGTACTTGTGTGGGCATCACATGCCCCATGGTGAAGACTCATTAGCAGTGGTTCACGCAACAGTTATGCATATTGTACATGCTGCCAGCCCACAGTGCCAAATAAAAATATACTGGTCCTGAATAACAGTTCCTCATTCCTCCAGCGTCCATGCGCTGGACTTAAAGGGGCACTCTGGGAATTTTTTCGGTGGTGTGTTCTCTTCATGGGGGCCTTATATGGCCCAAAGGAATGGGGAATCGCGAAAACTAGACCCAAAAAGTCGATATATGAAGCCAGGGAGGGCCAAGTTTGTCTCCTCTTTTGATGGTTTTGATGACGTCACGTTTGATTAGTTTTCAAATTCTCTGCATTTGAAGATCTTAGTTGTTTGAATTTTCTGGTGATGAAGAACAATGTTTGGTCGACATTCCCAGGCTGCACAACTGCAGACAAACTCTAAGGAACCTGAAGAACCCCCTAAGGTGCCCCTGGTACAAGCGCAGCCTGATGAGGGCCAGGAGATTGGAGCGGACGACTTCACTGGTCCGAATACGAGGATCCCAAAATTCTCTATACGCCGTGAGGCATATGGTAAGAACAGTTTTGTTTAGACAAGCTGACGCGAAGTCGGGGTGATGTGTAACGCATGTCAAAGGGCTGTCAATGCTAACCGCTGCAGCGCTCTCTCGACAGCGAAGGTAATCGACTGCCCTCTGCATCACCCCACATTTCTGGCAGGAGCACCAATCGTTATTTCCTTGTCGACCAGTGAAGTCGTCCGCTCCAATTTCCTGGCCCTCATCAGGCTGCGCTTCTACCAGGGGCACCTCAGGAGGTCCTTCAGGTTCCTTAGAGTATGGTCGCAGTTGTGAAGCTTGTGAATGTTGACCAAACATCGTTCTTCATCACCAGAAAATTCAAACAACTAAGATCTTCAAATGCAGAGAATTTGAATACTAATCACACTTCACGTCATCAAAACCATCAAAAGAGGAGACAAACCTGGCCCTCCCTGGCTTCATATATCGACTTTTTGTGTCTAGTTTTCGCGACTCCCCATTCCTTGGGGGCCATATAAGGCCCCATGAGGAGAACACACCACCGAAAATATTCACGGGGTGCCCCTTTAATGTGTGAAGGCAAGTCAGGCAGGCCGCCGCATGTCTTTCGCTCGTGTATATGCACCAGCACAAGTAGAAAACAGTGCGGATGTTTGACGTCAATTGAATACAATTGACATGGAGGAAAATATAAGGAAATGGAAAATACATATATGACGGGAAGAGAGAATCTCTCAAGACTGCAGCAGCTGTTCATACAGTTGTCCCACTCCCAAAGAAACGTCTCGGGAACATGGACTCAGGACCTCATGAGTTTACATGGGTGAATTTACAAATATTGCCCGGTCAACTACCACTCTGACATGAAAGGTGTACATCTAGTCGACTCTGTCTGAAGCTCTTACATATCCGTACATTGATACAAACTTCGTAGTTTTAAGTGAACTTACCGGCTGTAATCTCCGTCGATTTGTAACCGTCAGCTCAGTGGGAATCTCCCGCTGACCTCTGCCTCTTGATCCAGCTAAACAAGAAAACTTCTACAACTTATGGCAAGATATTGCAGTCAGGACGTGCAAGGAGGAATAGGAGTACTTCAGCACCAGCGGTAGGAAACACCAGGTACAGCTACATGTGTAGCTGGGAATGAGTGCAAGGAGCACAAAATAAAGCACAATAGGCTGGAATCTAGAATATACTGGCAATGCTGTATATCGGCTGGTGAGTGCGGAACCCAACGAACGCTCTTGGTCACACAAACTGAATACTGCAAGTGCCCGTGCAAGCAGTGTGACTTTGCCTTCAGCGTGTCTGTGGCAGATTTCCAGAGCAACCGTTGTCATGTTACTTTATGTACTCAGGTTCGGGCTACAGCATGAGAGGAATACACGTACTGTCCATGTACGTATAGGATATTGCACGATTCCCAGGGGATTATGAAAAATATATCTCGTGGACACTGTGCAATGTCCTGTATGGACCACACTTTTCGGGTGATCAGCACCATGAACCAGTGCAGTGTGAACGGAACACTAAAGTTCTCACATAGTCATTTGCTCTTCGCCTCTCCGAGTTTAGATCCACTTGTAGGTTTGACTGAGGCGAGCGCGGAATATCACAAACCTTCTTTGGTTTGTCTCCCAAGACGAAGCCTCATGAACACCGCTGCTTGTTGGTGGCTGACAAGAAACTCTGAAATTCTGACAAAGTCATTTGCTCGACGCCTCTCCGGGTTTAGATCCACTTGTTGGTTTGACTGAGGAGAGTGCAGAATATCACAAACTTTTTTTGTTTGTCTCCCAAGACGAAGCCTCATGAACACCGCTGCTTGTTGGTAGCTGACAAGACCGTGAGAAAAAGGCTGTGCTGATAAGCATCAAAACGACAAAAAAGGAGATATTGTAATAATTTGAAAATAATTTGAGGTGCTTTGTTCGTCAAAAAAATCGACGGGTTCACGTACCTGGCAGGTCAAGAACAAGGAGTCGCACAACTCCATGGTCAAGAACCACCTTTCCGCTTCCGTGGGACGCCGCCACCCCATGATCAGGCGTCAGATGCGGCTCCTAAACGGCGGGGCCGGGGAAGGATAGATCTGATCCACCAACCGTACCGGAGGGCAAAGGCCTAAATCCCATTGCCCATATCCATGTTTTACTAGTGACGTGTCAAGGTTGGCTGTAGACCGCACTCGAGGTGTGGTTGATTTTGGACAAAACCTGTGCAAGGCCGAATGCTGCTGCGTACGTTCCGTACAATTCAGTGTGGATTATGAGTGTAAACTTCTGTATTAATTTTATGAGCAGCATATAAATGTACATACGTACCTGGATTACTACGTTCCATTACCATTAAATGTGCGGTTTTCTATCGCATGAAAACTTCCGAAATGGAAGTTAATTCAAACGAAACAGCCTGAATCAACTGTTGAGTACTATTGATGATTCTCAGTCAACTAAACACCGCTTGTACAAGTGATATGAAAGCACAGCATTCTAGACAGTCCGCGAACTCATTTAAGCCACAAATTAGATTGGTTTGAGCTGGAGACTGGATAACTGAGGGAAAACCTTCTTATCCGAAACGCCATATGCACACACATGTTTCGGAAGTGTTTAGATCTGTCTACGATGAACAACAGCGGGCCCCATGAATCCACTCAGTACGCAATGCTCCTTGTGAATCTTGGGCTCTGAAAACAAATTGGTAGTACATGCTAGTGGTATGACAGCGATTGAGGATGGGGAGAGTAAGAGCAGACCAGGCATACTAAGGGTCCCTTAGGTCGACATTTATTTAGTGCTGTGCACAACACGTACAAGTACTGGCGTAATTGGATTTCTATTGAAGTCTCAATAAATCAGCTGGCGTCGAGAAAAGATGATGATATTGGACGAAAGACTTCGATTCACATAACTGCCGTTCTTACGGTAATGCAAACAGTCCAGCTGGGAAGGAAAACGATTTTAAAAGTTTTAGATACAAGGTGGCGATAGAACTTGACAATCAGACGAAATCCAAACACATTTCAGTCTCGCATTCCACGGTTCACTGAGCACCATGCATCAAGCCATGTTGTACTCAATAGTCCCATGTCACATCCTGCCAATCATCAGACTACGCAGCGTTATGAGGGGATTGCCAGGATATGGAATGAAACCATTAGTTGTAACTGAGCCAGATATGTGGTGCTCTGCTCATATATATACATGTACATGAATCACTAAACAGCTCTGTTGTGCTGGGATACACGGTGCTATCTTATAGTTTTCAGCTGTCAGTTCACCAAAACGGAGTGTTGCATGCACACTCCCTTCCTACTGGTGTCTACACGATAGTGGAAAACTGATCCATTTCTCAGCATTGTGCTTGCACTTTTCTGGGGTGCCACGGAACAGAAGGTGGAGTATGTCGAATACTATTCCTCTAGAGAAATCGGAATCTATGGATGGTGAATAAAGATGTCCGGCCGCTTTTGCTTCCTCTCAGATTCATGGCATGCAGAACGAAAACAGAAACAACAATCTGTGAGTCTAGCGACCAAACCTCTTTTGGCAGAGTCGCTCAATAAGCAGCTGATTTCGAACATGATCGAAACCGACGATAACATTAGATCTTGGCTGCCTGGAGTTACATGACCCTGTCAGTTGCTTGAATTCGCCCACCAAGATTGCAAAATGGCACCGGAATGAATATCTACAAAACTTCCAAATACGTCGTACCTCGCTTAGGTTCGCAAATGAGTCAGAGTAGCCCTCGAGCTAAACACACCAAGACCCGGCGAACCAAACATATACAAGCAAACGCGTGCTTGAGAACCTCTCAATATAAAACAGTGCGCCTCACTCCACTATGAATGTAAGTATCCTATGGCACCAACCTGTACCAAATGCTGTTCGGAAGATTGTTGTATAATTCTAGAGCATAGAGATAAGCACGACGCTGCACTTACACGTTCCCGCTTCTTAACAGGATAATCTTGATAGATGTGTTCTGGTACCTTATAGAAATGTCGTGCGGTACTTCAATTTCTTGTTTGGAAAAACGATAACTGGCTGGTCCGACAGAGCGAGATGGACAAGCGGCTAGCAATATTTCTGATCCTCTTCGTGGCAGGTAAAAAACGTTCTCCTATATACCTTGAA